CTTTCGCGGTATCGATTAGTTATGTACTGATAATGAAATATGACGAAACATCTCTCTGTGGCATTATTATTTGTCACTCCATATAACACAAATCAGTGCACATTCACTAATATAGTTTGAGTGTTGGCAATGGCATGGGTTGAAGTATGAAGTCGTTGCAGCTGTATGAGTTCCGGAGGTAGTCAGGTCGGGCCTTCATTGGCTCTTTTTGACTACGACGTATCAACCAGTAGTGCTAATGTGCTTCTTGCTAAGCACAAAAGATGAAAGACTCCAAGATTCGGCGAGCGCCATCTAACGTTCAGATTATGCGTTATTAAACATATTTTAGTTATTACTACTTATTTAATATGCTTGATAACTTTTTCTCCTTACTATGGTGGTTTAGTTAAAACTGTTAGCGCCACAGTATGCAGATCCATAGTCCTGAGGCGAGCGGCACATTGCGCCGTAAATAGCACTAAGTACGAGCAGCGCACGTTCAAGACTGTGAGGGGTAAACGGCCGAGGCTGTACACTTTCTGAACGATAAATGTGTTCAGGCGGCGCTTTTGAGGTGTTTGTAGCCAAATATATTTAGAACAGGGTTAGGTCGAGTCGCATTGATGAACTAGCAGTGCTCTGTTTGTAGAGTATACGCCGATCACTCCCGATCATAACTTGCTGGAGTACAAGATGACAGTAGCCAACTGTGACCTGATACGGCGCCTAGTTCCCATCAGCCCTGTTAGTTCACCACGTGTTTTACTGCAGTTTCCCAATTAGTTACTTAAAGTAATGCACTCGCGTAAACACGGACACAGGCCACTCTTTTCTTCACGGGTTGTTGCTTACTTGAAGCTTTCAACGTACGCATTCAGTCCAATGGTTATCATAACATCACTATTTATTGACGGGGTAAAGATCTGAGTAGAAACGTCTATTAGCAATGCCGCTAATTGCTCGTGCTGTCAGTATCGACGAGGTTTGAAGGCCAATGTTTTACGAACGCGTTCGCGTTAGGTGGGTATCGCTGATGAGATATGATGGCACTAGTTACTTTTCGTTGCACCGCCCGAGCCGTTACTCAATAGGAAAGCATGCCTTTTCAACTGACGCTCCCAAACAGGTCACGCTTAGTTCTATCAAGCGCCATGTTTTACTAGGACGACGTCGACTCCGCATTTAGAGGCGTAGCAAGCGGTTTTCGCGCCGCAAGCTTGAGCTGTCATCAACAATAATTCATCATCGCAGCTTATCAGTTTGCTAGCTTCTCTCACCGATAGGCCAGCTCCATCGAGAATCATGGACCATTCGCTGCTCAACTAGGACAAAGCTCCGCTCAACTCGATTTAAATCAACCTTTGCTGCTATTCACTCGACAGTGACTTATTTGACTACGATCGGCTTACGAAGCTGATCGACATACCTTAATACCCCGCATAGTTTTAATGAGAGAGACCTTTAGCCATGACGGTATATTTTACTTCTCGACGGTTGGCAATGATGGGCCGGCAACACAGGACTTACTGTGGGTAAATACCGCTGGCTATATATAAACCACCGAACTGGTTGTCGGCATTACTTGACTCCTCATCCGTTCTCGGATATAGGCGTTGGCAGAGATATCATTCTGCTCAACTAAAGACTGAACTAAGCAGCCCGAAAAACCAATGCTAGAAAGGACTAACTGCTCCAGCTGCTTTCAAGGCTACAGGGTTCGCCCTAAGTGTTAAGGGTGGATAACTGCCTAGACCTAGTACTGATCACTAAGAGCGACTTATACCCTTGCGAGGGTCAAGAAACAACAACATCCGTTCCGGTAGTAGAGACTCTATTTACCAGCAGATTTAGCGGCAGAGATCACAACTTGTTAAGCTAACCAACCGAACGACGGTGCTCGTCGTTGCCTATCACAGACCCAGAGGAAGGGATTATTGTCTGATCCAGTTGAGCTACGACTTTTACTAACGATCCCGATATGCTGGCAGCAAGTATGCTAGTAACAGTAAACGAACTGATGCACCGAACGTTGCCTGAACAAGTTAAGTAAACGATGGAGAGTGATCGACACATTAGTGTCGAATAGTACTCACGCGCTCACTCGAGGCAATCATGGCACCCTCTGCTGTTGACGATTTCCTAGTCGTTTTCTCGACTGTTGTAACCAGACTGGCCTGCGAAACAGAACGATCGGACTGCAACCACAGCCATCTTACCTAAAATATTTATTTCTTCTATATGTAGTACGCTGTGACTTTAGCGTACGGCTTGCCGGCGCCGCTGTCGGCATACATAGGCTTACGCAAACATCACTGTAAAGAGATCGACGCACTGAGAGATTCGCGCATTTCGTATTGACTGCACGTGGCCTGATCATTTGAACCTGCCGCTGCTAAGCGACATCATAACGCCCATTCAGAGAATAACAGATTGTAACATGGACAGGAACAGTGCGCCTGCAGCACGTCAGGACAAAGCAGCGACACGTATAGGCAAAAACAGAACAGCAGAGACGAATTGTTAAAGAAGCAGTATGGACACGGTACAGGATTCAGGCAACAACAAAAATAGGCATCTTCCCAAAGCACAAATATTCGGCACCTTCCTAGGGGGACAAACGAGAGTGGCCGGAATCTATGTTTTTATTAGCACGTATGATAAATATCATCAATAACGCCGCTTGTCTTAGACCGTCGAAAAACTCATTACTTATGTGCGACATGTTTAGGCGTAACACAGCACGATTTTCCTTACTATGTGCTTTCCTTACGTACAGGCTTCTGCTTCGTTGACTGCGTACAATCTCAATCGAAAACTGCCTAACACAAGATAGAGCACGTCAATGTTGTTAAAGTATTAGCTTTTTTCTAACGATAAGATGCCAGAACGCAGTAACTGTGCATAATGGACAGCTGTCCGTTCCAGTATGTCCTGGTTCCGGCAGGACATAGCTAACTAACCAGCAAGAACAAGCCATAAAAAGCTTTATGACGTACTAGTTTCATACATATATATTGCTTTCACTTTTTTCATCTGAATATCTAATTTTTTTTTCAGAATTTATGCGTATATCTATTTTTACAAGTGTATAGTATCTGTTATCGATATGCAGTCTGGGTTATTTGTGGGTCCGTAGCTTGTTGCTGAAGACACTATGGCTTCTCGTAGACGATCAGACGTTCGAAACCACAAAATGAGAAGGATCTTAGCAGAGAGGGTATAAATAGACGGTATGTCATTTACAGCATGGTAAATATAGAGATAAATTTATATAGGACTGTGAAAATTTATTTCGGTTAAACAGAAAACCCTTTCTTTAACTTTGGCGCATTCTTTTCTCGGTTACAACACCTAAAAGTGATGAGAAATATCCATTTCTCCCACAGAATTCGTGCTTTCGGGAGGATGGCCTTCGGATTTGTCTTATGTGCTTCGGGATTCAAGTTGAAGAAAGTAGGCAACGTTGACTGACTTCAATCAAATTTGAATCCTAATCTCTTAAACGATAAAAAGGCTTAAACACCGAATTTTCTCTAAAAAATAGCACCATTCTGTTAGCATTGGGCGGCACCATGTTGAGCACTTTATTTAGGGGTTGTAAACCCAAAATAATTCTGGTGCATTCATTTGCCGTTAGTCAAACTAGAATAGAACATCAACAACCTAATTCGTTTTTTCACGGCAATCTTACTAAAATAATTACTTTGAGCTCAAATGATTAGATATTCTGAAACACCTAAATTCGGGCCAAAATACCTTGCTTTGAGTAAATACAGGTATAATAAAATGATAATAGTGATAATTTGTTTTATCATTACCCATTAGTGACAGCCCTGTGGGTGACGTGTTTGCTACTAAGGAGGACATGCGGTGATCTAGGTTACAATGCAGGCATAGAGATACTTCGTTTCGGCTTAGAAGAAGCTGGGATTCAAGCGTAAAGCTTTAATCTGTTCTACCGTCGTTACGATTTTGTCAAATCTTTAGGTTCATATTTTCAAGGCCGAAGGTTTTAGGTCGAATCTTGCTACATATGCACGAAATGCCCATCATCATTATGCAAAACAATAAGTGAAGCTCTTTAGGTCTGTAACAGCTGATCATAACTCTAAGGGAACAATGAAGCATCTATGTCTTCGCTCTATGCCAAACCTAAATGGTCATCAATTCTGCTACTTATGTTAGACAGCTTTGATTATTTCAGTTTGTGCTTCCCCATTCTGCGGAGCGTGCATATAATGAAAAACAAAAACCATTTAACTGTTCTTTTGCGTCCAATTGAAGTAGGGAATTCGAAAATCATTGACTAGCTAAAGACGCTGTGGTTAATCTACACTTTGTTGTGATCTATCATAGTTGAAGAGTCGTGCCAGCTAAGAACTGAATCACGAATATGTCGCGTTCGTGTACGTTCAACGAAGGCGCAGGCGTAACGCACAGAAAGGACGAAATAAATACAGTCAAGTCAGGAAAACAGGCCATTTAAAATAGGTACGCTGTTGTTTCTAGTATTATCTTATATAATGTTATCTCTTTAGTTGTTGAAATTATATCTAGAAATTGAACGTACCCTAGGCCCTCTTATTTTTCACAAGAACAAGTTCTACTCTGCTTTTGACCTAAACTATCCGACCTTATTCTATATGCCTCTCAAATGTATTTATTATAATATAGAGGTACTCGCAACGGAGACTTACAGGGTTGGACGTTGTTGTACTAGCGGATAGCGGACATACGTCTTTTTTATTCCGTCAAAAGATAATGCTAATTAAACCATCGTTATCATTTCTTTCACTCTCGTCCAAGAACTTTAAAGTGTCTATACTCACTAAACGAAAAGTATCTACTCCTCAGAAATCATTTTATGATGCTAATATGTCTATCGATCTGCGAATTTCCTATCAGTGGTTGCCAATAATCAAATCTTACATAGACGCGTAACGCCAACATGTAACGCGTCTAGACATACAGAATAAAACCATTTTTCATACTTCAGTTAAAATATTCGTCATACTAACCTCCCATAGCATCTGGAAGTCTTTCTGGTCAATTCGTAGTAGTTCGCAACATTCATTTGCAACGACGGTCGCTGAATGAGGAGACGAAAGACATGAGACTGACTCCCCGAACGCTCTCCCGACGCCAAGAGTGCATAACGTAACATTACCCTGCAAAACAAATCGCTTTCGATAAATTATGTTCTGCTTAAACCATCCATACATTATAGTTGAGAACAGGAACGATTTGACCTATTCACCGCTACACACCTCTCGATTGGGCTTTTCGAAATTAGGTCTGATGTGGAAGTCAAGGCTCGAGCCTTTGTAGACGACGACGTCAAATAACGGCTTTCCAAAAGGGGCCAGATTGAATGTTGAATCTAGTCGTTTGCTCAGTAAGTTGTTATATTTATTGAACAAGTTGACGATAGGACGTGACACATCAAAGTATTCGCAATTTTAGACAGGCAGCTATCAAGGCCTTTGGAGACGTCGCTCCAGGCAGACCAACAGAAGCCTTTGCGGCTGCCGAACGAATGAAAGAATTAATCTCTCTAGTTAAACAGTTCATACTCAAGTCCGAAATCAGTTTATATACAAACTGAACGATCTTTCGGCTTCCGACCTTCTTCTTGAAATCGTATGCAGCAATTAAGGGACCATAGATGAATCGAGCTGCCACGGGCAAAAATAGTCACACGTATCACTCTCACGGATCCGCTATCCAGGAAGCAGAAAGTCAAAGTTGTGTTATTTTTATCGCAAACTGGGAGCTCGTTCTTTTATCTACTCAGAATACTTCCGCCCAACATCTGCGGACTTCGATTGTCGGTTCTAACGGACAGATCTAAACCTATTATTGCCCTCCATACATATACGCTGACAGCTCAAAGAATAACTCCACGGTTTACCTGTATGTGTGTTTGTGTGTATCTACTTGCAAGCAACAGCATACATGAATCGTACGCGTAGATTATTAAGCTGTTCCGATGTTGAATGAGCGCAGCTCAGCTGAATAAACCATGTTGCTAAGCATATAAACACACATGATAGCCGCGTTTCTATTTACTAAGGTTCGGCTTAACGGCTTCTGAAGGAAGCTCAAAACGGTGCCACAGGTCCTCGGGCAGCAGCGAGAAGTCGACTAGGAGACACGCGAGGCGATTTCAGGTTACCATACATAGTCCAAGTACTCTTTATAGGATGAAGGCCTTGGTTCGATTTAATTGTTCGAAGTTCTCCTCTGTAAAATTTTCCCAAGTGATGTGCGCTCCACGCCTTGTGATAGTTTGAGGTCTAACACGCTGGGAGCGGTTGTAAAAAACAAGCGATGAAGCGATTTCATCGTTCATCCAATCAACACCGCCTTCCTGCGTCTTCTGGTGACGTGTGCAGTTCGTGCTGTTCGCGGGAAAGTTCAATTTTAAATAACGAAACTAGTTTACATAACTAAAAGGTGATCTAGGAAGCGCAAGGTGTCAGTGGTCACTGTCGTGTCTCGCTTTCTAAATTTCAGTACCTCTTGATCAGGTTTACAGTAAGTCCCGAATGTGCAACTGCGAGCCAGAGTAGAGTTTGCTGCGCTTAGAATGTGTTCCACTGATCTATTACTAACTCACCCGCAAAGATGGCTTTGACTGATTTCCTTAACCCTCTTTTTCGATCCGGGCGCCCTTCAGCAAAACGGAAAACAGAAATGGGTTTAGGTTGTCTTCCTAAAGTGAGTCAGTTTCCTGCCCGATTTATAGAAACTTCCATGAACTAGCACGAGCATAACTTTGTCTCTAGATGTCGAATGGGAACTTCTTTTGGAAGTCGACAAACACTGTGTATAGCGGATTTCACGACGTGGCCAGCGCTCCCTTGAGGTCAGCCACTAGGATTTCGCATGTCGTTTCTGTGTAGTGTTTCCAGAACCTATGTTGCTTCATTGGAAAAGCATGTAAGCGTTTTAAATAGCTGCTCAGGCTTTTTGTTAATAAGTCAAAGATCAGCCTATGCTAAACACTTTTCTCCACTATATCTCGTCATGATGAAGGGTCGCGCTTCTCTTTAGGCATCACTAACAGGGTGCCGCTTCTCCACTGGGCGGAAGATGTTCTAATAGATGGCCACTTGTAAAATAGTATCGTCCAGCACGGCGCATTTGAAATGCTCGTTGCAGATCCTATCTCGACAAGCAGCTTTATTGTCGCATAAAACCCAACATTAGTTCTCACGCTGTTGGGTTTGATTCGAAGATATCGCGTTCTATTGGGATCCCCTCTTCCCACTTTTGAGCAAAGAATGGCACCATGTGTACTATCGTATCAAACTCCCAACCACCAAATGCAAGGAGTGAACGTTTGAACTGACAGCTGTTTCCCGCTAAGTTTCTCTAGATCGACATGGTACAATGTAACATATCACGACCGTAAGCAGACCGAGAGGGGCTGCCACCAAAGGGTAGCTTTGAATCAGACAGATCAGCATTATCTCCGTTTGTCTGTCTTTTCGCCCGTGTGTCATTGGAGATCATTCGATATCTCAACGGATTGGATCCCCGCATGATCAATGGTTGGCCCACTTTATCGACGCACGTCTTGGACACAGGGTCATAATGCACAATTACCAAACGTCGGCCAATATCCTGCTTATGCAAACTATGTAGACTTCCCGGAATATTGTAAAGTAAGCTGGGCATCGGCCGATTCATACGATGGAGGTCGTTCCTAAAGTCCACTCTACGCTGTAAGGAAGGCCGATCTGGTCATTCGAGTGATTGCTATCCCTAAAGGAAGCAATAATGAATGCCCTTGTGCAATCAACTGCGAACATCCAATGGCATAAAATCCCTGTATTTGCGGTGACAGATTTGTCTGGTGACCTTTCAGTTTTGATCAATTCGGTTATGAAAAGACCTGTGTATGCCGTCTGGCTGTGTAATTAGGGGCCGGCGATAGGCATCCATTCAGTCACCTTTACATGATAGCAGGGTCTATGTAGTGCGATCAGACGATGGAAACAGATGCACGTCACAAGTGATCGCCTCTAGTGCTGACAGACCTGAGACCCCAGTTCCAGAAGCGCCCAAGGCCTTTTGTGTTTCACTCCAGTTTGCTTACCTGCCGGCATTGGGCAAAAAAACACCCTAAGTCGAACTTTAACATCGGCCTTACGGTATTTTTTCATTAATTTAAAAAAGAACTAACATAAATGGGACAGTGTGGGCCAAAAGAAAAAGTGTGGATCATAATAAGTAAGTAGAAATCGAAAGAACTTCGGACCGTTCATTTTAAAGCTTCTAGTCCAGGTTTTTTCAAGTGGAAATATGTCTATGCTGACAAAAAGTGTGTACATTGTTTAAATTAGAATAACAAAAATAGCCATTGCGTTTACGGTGATCTACTCTACTCATGAAACGTATTTTTGAAAAAAAATTGCCTCCGGCCGTTCTGATCGGTCCGAGGTGTATATGGTTGGTCTCATTGAAAGTTCTAAACTGAATTATTGAGAAAGTAGTATTAATAACTACAGAAATGTTTCTATTAGTCCTTCTTTTTAATGCTGGAGTAGCGTACGCCTGAGTATATTCTTTTAATATTCTTTAACACGACAATGTACATGTGCGTACATGAATTAAGTGTTTCTATTGAAGCAACGTTCTCCCGTATGGGCTCGACGTCATCAGGATATATCATGAAAAGAAAGAGTTTTCGTTTTCTGTTAAATAACGTGAGGCTTGTTAGACTTTGATGAAAGGATAGTATCAAATCTAATGGACAAAATAGGACTATAATAAATGCTAAGTGATAATCTTCAAGCAAAAAAAACATTTTATTCTACATAATTCGCCTTTTTTTTTGCCAATTATTGGTTAGCTTCACTGTGTTACTGAGTTAACAAGGTATTTTTTTGTGGATTTGAAAAGGCTTCGTAGAGGCATTTGTGATGCTAATGAAATACTGTGTAGTATATTAAAATCCTATTCGGCTAATGTCGTTGTACACAGCGTATACATTCTTAGATTTCAGAGCCACAAGCATATGTGGCAGTATATATTTTGTTTATATGTATCGTGCAACAGATCCCCTGATAAGCTAAACGATTACAGGGTGCGCCACGATGTCCAATAAATAAACGTACGGTGTACAACACGTGTGGGCCGTCTTTCAAAAGCTGAGGTAACGGCGGTACCGTTAAAAAGGCACCCCTCATTGTATAAACAGCTGGATGAAACAACAAACATGGATAGTATCTGTTGCTTTGAATTTAGTTCTCCGACTTCAACAAACAATACATTCGAGGGCGTAGATTATCCATTAATCGGCTAGAGTGATCGATTCCCCATAATTGAAAAAAATAACGCGTACGCACTTTTAATCTGTCGAGTGAAAACGTTAGCCTATAGTGGATTATTTGTACAAACAAACTTGGCTTGGGTGGGGCCTTTAACTTGAACAAAATGAGCGAAAAGAAAACCGTGATAATTTCCACTAAAAGCGAATTAAAGATCTGAGCAGAATAGGAAAACGTGACGTTGAGGTAGCTCTCCTATCAGATGCACTTACAGTTGCAATTAACAGTCTATAGCGTGGGGTCCGGGTGCTGGATTTAAAGGTGCGATAATGGCTGAGGCATATAAGCGAAGTGGTTCGAGATTACACCGATCCTCTTAGGCTAGGAGGTATCATTGAACTCCACAGTGAAATAACTCTAGGTGTATCCATCCTCTTATAAGGATATCATTATCGTATTCGTATAAGAGACCCTGACTCCTTGTTGTTCCTTGAAATGATAGGAATTCATGTCAGTAAAAGATATCTCCCAATAGAAGTTCTGTTTCCTTCAATCCTGCTATTTATGCCCGCCTTTATCCAAGTCATACTTAAAATCCTCGAATCAGGCTTGCAAGTGTTCCCAGGTTATTACCACTGTTATATGTGAATTACATTATTTATAATGACTATTACATATTTGAGATGAGAGACGAAGCAAGTAACAGATTAGTTATAATCAACTAATTATAATTAATACAGTATTTGCTAGAAACGTTTCCCAAAAATAAATAAATAAAGAGTCGACTGAATTACTTCTAAAAAATACCTTCAAGTCCACAGTTAACGCCTATATGTAACTATCATTATTATTATATCTTAATGCGTTCAACACGCGCAAGTCCTGGCAAAGGTGAGCATCTTTTACGGAGTCACGAACCAGTATCGATCATACGAGCACGATTAACCACAATGAGATTAGGCCTCTCCAGTATTTAGCAAGGGAGAGTTCCACTGGTCGGTGTTATGAGTTAAGGGAAGATCAGTCATTGACTGTTGAGGTTAATAGCTGATTCTAAGGTAACAACCAGCTTCCATCAGCATCACACAGCCAATCGTTCCTATGATTTCCAAAAATCATCCTATTTCCAAAATTGATAGTAACATATTTTCCACCCTTAAGGTCTACTTTTATCAACTCGTTATGCGTACCATTGGACTACATAAAACAAGATTAGAAAATGCTCAAAACCAATTTTCCGTTTTCAAACACCCCTTACCCCAATGCGATTTTTGTTGGGGGGGGGGGGGGGGGGAATTATAAAAGGTTGGTATCTATGAAGGCTGCCTTCCTGCTTTAGTATCTAAAATATGTATTTTAGTATATGGAGTGGACGAATATTGTTGTTAACACGCATTCAATTAAACCCCGTACCATAATAGAATGAAAATAGGTGATTCGTCATGTTTTTCAGCTTAGAAATCACTTTGCTGGACATGTTGTCATCTCGAGGGTAAAAAAATAATATAATATTAAAAAAAAATTAATCGTATTGGTGCTTCGCGAACTGCTATGCTAGGCGTTGTGTGCGTCTGCCGCTTTCCAGCCCACCCCTACGTGCTTAGGCATATGTTTCAGTTTAATAGAAGTTGCGACTAAATCTGCTAGGAATGAGCTTTCATTTTAGCAAGACTAACTTCAGTAATGCCACTTCTGCTCAATATCTCAATGATACTGCTGCATGAATTTGAAATGATTTTATCATCTTCAGTAGTTTTTTACTCTAAAGTTTTTTCGGGCTACTTAACATTGCGGACATGTACATCTCGGAGGTACACCGACTTCTGATAAGCAATACACCCGTTATTGTTTTGTGGAGGCGGGGAAAGCCCTGATTCAGTGATATTATATACACGCTAAGTCCCAATTGTTTCGCCTGAGTTTCCATTATAAGGACCACTGCTGTCGTTTGCCCACTTTTTTGTAAAGCCATTAAAGATCTTCTGTTAATCCTTAAACCACCACAAAGCCATATGTATACAAGTCGACCTTGGGTGCAAATAATCGTACGAAAATAATGCAGCTACAATGCTATTCACAGCCACTTCCAGTCATACTCTATATTTTATGGTAGTATTACGATTGCTACTGGGTATCACCGAGTATATATAGGTAACTTCCTGTGGCGATTTGTTATTGCGTTTTCTGATGTGGGCAGAAGTGTTCGTTGTCACACTTGCGCGGGGGCTAGGGTCACGGCTGGGATTCACGAAGCTAACTACCAGGTGACGCATTGAAGTTACCGTAAATCTGCCCAACTAGGGACCTTTCCCAGGAACTCGAATAGGAGCGGTGGAGTTTAAACAAAAGAGGGGGTTAGCCATCGTCACAAAGAAAACACCCTACACCGTTGATCCCCACTCTTTTGTGTTCTTTCATGCAGGTTATGCGATTAAAAAGCGACATATGGGATCAACTATTATCTTACGAGCTCGGTATCTAGATTGATATTGCGATATCCTTTGAATGAGCCTAGATGGGTAGTCCAGTGCCGAACGGATCCAGCTAGAACGTGTGCGACGACATGAACTGAGTACCAAGCCAAAAATGATCGGAGCCTATAGAATGATATTACCCTACACGCTTAATAGATACATCTAATAGTTCAACTGGGTCGGCTCATGTAGTTTTTATGTGAAAAAAGCCGGGTCGCTTGACTGCAACAACTGCAATCATATCGCCGATGTACATCGCAGACCGATACGCGTCGATGGCACCTGATAGGTTATAACGCCACGATTTCAAATTTGTAAGAACCAGTCCCTATAAACTAACTATTCCCTGTCACAGGCGAGATGCATTTGTATTATAACGATATAGGACAATAAATGAACGTGTGCGTAACGGCAAGACTGTCATGTTTCATCCTTTAATCTTGATTAAAGATTAGTAGTGATGATTTCTTTAGCCAAAGAGCTCGCTGTCTCGCCATAATGGGTACGGGTTTTTGTTTTTCCTGAATAGCCTCCTCATAAAATATAGTCGGCTATATTAAAGCTGTTTAACAGTGCCTCAACTTGCTGGGTCTACTACATTCATTATCTTTTTGTAGCTAAATTAAGCCTTATTGCTTGTATTTTATAATCCAATATATAAGAGCTGATGGTGAGGACGACTCACCATTGAGGCTCCTATGTTGTTTGTGATTTGAACATCAAGCGACCCCTTGAGGACGGCATACCAGTTTTTTCCTTTGTCACCCTCTCGGAACACTGCAAGCAAGAGCAGACACCCAATATTAATATAATTATCACATAAGTACAACGAAGGTTTTTATTATATATTTCATTCTAATTAGCAGTATTCTATTCGTCTACCTCAAATATGTGCGGATGAAAAATGCCGGTTAAATGATAGGATATAATATGTTTCATATTTTGTCTCCATTTTAAGACTGAGTAGGTATATCAAACGTCTTTAGACAGCTTCGAGAACAAATAGAAGACGTACACTAGAACCAGAGTTTTCTCTGTCCCATTTCGTAGTCTCGAAACAACGCGCGTTCGTGATCTACGCGTTAAACGAGATAGCAGTTAGTTGTTGCGTAAAGCTATACAAATACTCAATGTGTATTTGTAGGCCTGTCCAGATTTCTCGAACAAATACAATGATTTTCGAAACAGTTTCATCATTTAAGGCATTAAAATCTATTGAGCTTTTCGAGCAGAGCTAGTATGACCTTGCTTATAATGCATCGAGCTAATTTTTACCAGCTTGGTAAAAGTGTAATAGATATGGATTATTCAAGCTGTGAGAAGTAGAAAATAAGGGTCAAACGATACCTGTAGGACAATTTCTTCTGGCAGTGGGGAAACGCACTATATTTCTCGCGATTTCTCATAGTTTTGAGCTTTAACTTATGCTGATGGGTCGTTTTCATTGAAGTTGCTCCACTTTTGCATTTGCTTCCGTTGAAAGCCCCAGTACGATTTCCGGCTCTGATTGTCCATGTGGCGACAGCCCTCGATTCAAACCGATCTTATCCAGATGCTATTTAATGATATCAACCGTACAACATCGCCGAAGAGATTAACTTTTCAGTGATTTTTAAAAAAAGGCTGATTTCTAAAAGAACAAATTTTACGAGCTTTCATTTTTGAAGGTAAGGAACGACAATATAGCGACGTCCTTTCCCACAGGCACCGCAACGGTCCTGCGGATTCAATAGTCCTTCCCTTTTCATCCTTTGCTATTTTTATTGATGAAGGCTCTGTTCCATTTCTTGTAATAAGTTGCTGTTCATAAGACTAAAGCGGAAGATGAGCGAAAAAGCCTGTTAGAGAATAACCATGTCTACCCAAAAAATTACGGTATTTTCATTTCTTGTTATGTCAAAAACGAGTCATCTAACAGCGTCGTTATGAAGTAATTCTTTTGCGCTAAGCTGGTGGTGCCGTATTTGTACGGCTCTATTCTTGCTTTAATTGTAGTGGGCCCCAGCATTCCAATTTTGTCATAGTGGGCCTTTTTGGAATTAGGAAATATTATCCACCGAGCTTCTCTAGGATATCTCATTGAGGCATCTCAGGATAAATCGGACACGATCAGCTAAGACGCTTTAGACCTTCAAGTTAAGACAGGGATGCGGATCTCCAGGCGCCCAAATTTTCTTTGCAACTTCTCATCGCTACCTCATCATGTAAATGAAATTAATCCCGTTCTTATGCTGAGTCGCAGGCATCTATGTGTTACAGGCGTTAATTAAGTACCCGAATCCTTATATTGTCCTTATGCCTTATTCAATGCGTTGCAAGAGTGGGAACATTTTCGATACAATTCTCGCCCGAATTTTGGTTGCTTAAAAGAGTCATATTTGGGTTGTCATTCTTTCAAGAAAGCCAAACGGAACCTCTAGCTTATAGATCTCCGGCATCTTCTTGAATAAAAGGAATTTCGACCACACGGATGGTGGTGATAACGGCACAGCAACAGGAACTGACTCTAGCTGTTCAATGAATAGAGAGATTGAAAACAAAATAACTTTAATGTTTTCATAGTGGATGAACGTCCCTCTCAGCCTCCCGAGGTCGCGCGACTTAGAGAAGTTCTGCGTGCAACGCTTTACGATGTCTCTTTCAACGATTTGTTGATGACCTATTGGAAAGAACAAATTTAGTAGCCTTTAATTTGGCTGCTGAGTTAATCATGCCCGCCGTCATAAATTGGGTTCGTTCAGTCCGTTTCAGCGAAAACGAGCTGATTAGGGTTGTTGACTAATGAAATGTTCGCAGTGAAACGCTTGTTCGATATTCCCTTAGAATTGTTTCTCGAAGCCGCACGGTTAACTTTGTTTGACCGCGTATCCAGTGACCATTTAATAGACTATTCATTGGAAGTGAAACGCGTCCATTACCTCTGTTATTAACAGATATAAGCCTTCCTATAATTGTAATCCATTACTTATTACTCTGTCTTACAATGTCACTTAACGTGTACGTGTATGTGTATATAGAAAAAAAATATAACGATATGACACGTGAGCCTTTACTATGCCTCACATCATTTTACTAAACAACCCAATCAGTCAAAAGAACATCAAAATTGTTCTTCAAAGGTATCTAACATCACTACATATAGTATGTGTACTTGTTGTCGAACTGCCGTTACTGAAACAGCAGCTATTTTGAACGAGCTCAGCGTTCTTTTATACAATACATCGTAATAGCATACTAAGCTGTCCTCCATTTTGAACATCTCTCAGAGCAGATCCGTCACCCCAACCTTGTCAGGCGGCGGCAGCATAGGCTAAGTGGTTAGTACATATGAATTGCAGCGTTGGCAAAAGGCTTCTGTTATCATGCCGCTTCATAGATTTGTTTGAGCAGAAACCATCTAAGAAACCCGTCCAAAGTGATACCTGACGTCCTATTTACCAACCTTTAGAAGAAAAAAACAACGCTTTGTTTCGATGAGGCTAAATCTTTTGTTAAACGCAACGCAAGACCAGCTCAAGTGATTCGGTTGGGCAGCCATTTAAAGCAATAATTCAATCGAAATCTCTCTACTTAGCCGCATAGAAGAGATCCATTTTCTATATCTCGTTAACATACGCATTAAAAACGCAGAAAAATTGTTACCGCGATTGAACCTTAATTGTCTCTATTATATGCATGTACCTGCTAATCACTTCCAATAGCCGTATCGTCAATAGCACGAATTGGTTTCAGGCTCGTCCATGCAGAAATTTCACGCGGTCCTATTGTCCACAAACCCACTTGTATGGACGGCCCCTTAATCATTCCTTCCGGCTAGCTGCCTCAATGGCAAAATAACCGAAGAAAAGCTTTTACGAAAGAAACGCTTTGCCTCGAACGATTACCGTGCCAGTGATAATTTTTTTTCCTATTCTTCCGAAAGTGGTAAATGTTAATAATCAAAATAGCAGAAATTATGGATAAAGAGAAGACAGTGCAATTACGTTAAATCGTGTTCTAAAATTATCTAGCAACGAAGTCGTACAGAATCGGTCACGACGTCTCTCGGTATTCGCGTACAAAGAAGGTCCCTACTTTCTGTTCTTTTTTGTTTCGAGTCGCCATCAAATCCCTATTTTCTGCGCAATCCCTGGGCCTTTTATCCACTTCTGGTTCCGTTCTCGCGTCAGCTGTAGGGAGAACCTCGACCCGCGATGGCTTGCCTTTGATCCGCTGTCAGTACGATTCCCTTTCATAGCATCTGCAAAATCGGCAACGTACTGTCAACCATAAAAAGCAGGACATCAAAGCGGTTCAGGTCAAAATGAATGAATTTGTCGCTTGCTGTTGGTCTTCAGTGAACCCGGCGTGTCGAACCAGGCGTCGCTAGAGAGGTGGAGAGGCGGGGAAAAGCTCCAAAGTACGCTGCACATAAGATGCAAAAAAGGTAGTATGCCAGAAAGAAACAACTTGTAAGGAGCAATCCACGTAAACGAATGGGTTAGGACCAGATGCGCTTTCTAATGATTAAGTGGCTGCCCGCCTTTAAGGAGCAGAAGGAGACATTCTCATTTAGGTAGACGGCGTACATATGATGGAAGAGACAAACACCTGCTTTGTAGCCCATACGTTTCACTATTGATGATGTAGGGTGTTCTTACACAAGGTCCAACACAAGGATTAGTCACCTTGTGACTGTATTTTCTTTTTTTTGTTAGTATTCATATACAATGAACGAACATTACGTTATTAGACACTTCTGCAGCCTCCGAGAAAACTTACTGAATAAAAAATTATGTGTGTAAAATTGAGCAAACACATAACTATTGGATAACTGGGCAATTATTGAGATAGCTATTATCAACGCTGTTTAACAAATAGTGATACCTCATAGTCGTTGAAATTCGTCTGCTGACGACCGCTTGAGTGTGAGAGCATTTTTCACGACAGGTTAGGAAATAAGGTGCGAGGACGGAATAATAGTCAGATTAAATGTCTTCAAAAAGGTCCATTCGACTATTACAAGGTTAGTTGAACTTTTTTTTTCGCGTAGAAGTTATATTCGTAGTACATCTAATAGTCTGCTTGAAATTGAATAACGATTTATCCTTGGGAACGAACCGGTTCGCATGCTGGCCTCTATCGATACGAAAATAGCTATATATATGGGAAGTTTTACTTACATGTAACTCCCGCATCGATGTCTTCATAATAGCCGTAATAGGCAAGCTGTTGTAACAACAGCGGATGAAGACGATGAAAGGGTGGCATAGCGCGTAGCTTAGCGTAGATCAACTCCAAATCATCCTGTGTACGTTCGGGATGGCTGTAGAATGAACAGGGTACAAAACACATAGGAAAATGACAAAATCTTCACACTGACTGGTTTAGCATAGAAGAACACAGTTGATAAGACCGTAGAAACACACGTATACGAACAGGTTTATGGTGAAAACAATCAAGCGCTTTGAAAACTTTAAAAACATATAACGCAGATTTCAAAGCTGTTTCTAAACGATTAGCAACAAATTTACGAAGATGGGGAGCGTGCATGATGCTAAATTGGGAACATCGCCTTCAGTGGTGTGCTATTGTTAGGTCCGTATAATAATAGTAGTAACAATGATAATAATAGAACCTACTGTTATCGAACGTTTGTACCTGTAGAGATGGATCGTATATATGGTTAATCATTTCTTACTAACCACATTTTTAACGCTCATCGCTGTTTGTACAGATAATATACCTTCAAGGGCAGAAATTCTAGTGGTCGATGTCTGTTTTCTGTATTGAGCGGTGACTTGCGGAAGGTGGATCTGTGAGCTAAAACCTTCGAAAGTAACGTTCAACATAATAAATATTATCTAAACCATCTTCCTAATAGAGACTAACCTCCATTAATCGAAAAATCACCATCCGCGCCACGTCAGACCTACTAACCATCGCCTCTTAGCGAATTTTGGGAAGAGAAAATCTGAGTAGCCTTACTTTAAAAAAACTTCTGAAATAAGACTTGCCAACGAAGAATCTAGGATGCGGTATTGAACTAGTTTGCGGCTTTATAGAGTGGCTCAGACGATTACGCCCAGGCGAAGCAATGTTTACTTAGATACAGGATATTTTAACCAAAAGTAGAACTCCGTATACTTCATGGTTCAAGAACCTCGGGGACAAGCTGAGTAAATCCAACTCGTAAACCGAGGCTTGATTAGTGGACATTTTGATCTATTTTAGGCAGATTTTTTACCCATATGTGTGCAGGTTATCATTTGAGATCGTCGGCAGTAAGACAAATTCATAACCGGTCAAACAAAAAAATTCTGTTAATCTTGAATAAGTGGTGCAGTAAGATGGACCCTTCTTAGGGTTTGGCAAGCTATGTCAATATCTATTCAGGGTCGAATCAGTTATTTTCTGGAAATAAACACATTGATGATAATTTAATTGATTAGATTGGGTGCGAAAAAACGACGCAGGTAAGCTAGGCAGATGTAAGTATTTAAAACCTAACTACGACACTCGACGCTGCCAGGTAAAATATAAAAGCAAAAACACCGAGTTAAGAAAAGTTTCTCTTGAATGGAACAAATGGTTCATTGAAGAAATGTCAGGCCAAAGGACATATGGTATGTGTAGAAACAAGTTCTAGGAGCGTGAAGGCAAAATTGGTCTTCGTCCTCTCCGTCGGCGACCTTATGATGATGTCAAGGTTAAAGTGAAACAGGGCGTCTGCCAGGGTCGGCAGCTATGAGAGTACGTAAATGATCTTGTCAACATTTGCTGTCTGCTGAGCTGGGAACACAGTACGTAACTAGTCGGACTATTTGACTGCCGCTGGAACTAAAACTTGGAACTCTTCGTCTCCCCAATCAATCAACAGGATAAACTTGGCCCCTAATACGAATACGATCGACGAAGTCACAAAACAGCTAAACAGTAGAAAAAGTAGACTGAAAACTGTTTTGTAGAATCGTCACATTTCATTGAAGAGTCTCAAAAATCACTTGTTTACAGGATTCAAAAACGTTTAGGGAATGGTGAGCTGATATTCCCCGAAACACAACTGTTATGTGTGTTGCTACGGGAGAAAAATAGGCCGACGTGTTCGTCTCAGGGCATCTTATAATGGGCTGTATTTGGTTCCAGAGGCCTATAGCGATGCGCGCAGTAAAGCCTCATGAAAATTTTTTGAAGCGCTTTTAAGAGATCTTTTTTTCTAGAAACCATTTCTATAGTAAGGAGCGAACGAGGTCCAAGGAGAATTTGAAACCGGAAGTTCAGAAAGAAATTAAACTTTTACAGTTATCTATGCTTCTATCTAGTCTTCCATTATTTATTATCGATAATCATAACTATCCGGAATGAGGTGCATGAATCCGGAACGATGATACCCTATGCCGGCTACGGTTGTCACGATCTTGTCATGAAGAGCCGCATTTAGTCCGTTATTGCCACCAACTATGTTAGGCACTGTGTTTTCCCACAAAGGATCTAATGTCATAGCGTAATTCCCTTTTAATTTCCCTATCAATCAACAGTCAGCAATCGACGACCCAATCCTGTATGTGCCCAACATGTACATAGTAGACTGTATAACTCCTAGTATGATGAATACGGCAAAATAAGTAAAGCTACTTTAATTAGCAACGAGTACCTATATAGAGCTTTCTGATAGCTTAATGCGATCCTCTGACGGGTTCTGTGAAGCAGACATTTTTGTCAACCTGTGTTCTATTGCGATAGCGCACGAAACTCTATAAACTTTTTAATTTTTCTCAGAAAAATGATGCATTTTTCTAGAATTGAGGCTACTTGGTACCGTTTGAGCGGCCAATTGTGTTTGTTCCAAGTTTATCAGTGTATATTTAAATCTGAAATGAAGTCAAACAAATATAGAAATAATTCTAGAGTTAACCTGTTCTACTCCCTATTACTTGTTGTAAAATTAGTTTTACAAACCTGATTTAGTCGTAAGTTTTCAAATAACTAAATAGGAAGAACTATGAATTCGCGTTTCAAACGTTGTCCAATGTAGCTAGAACGAATAATCTGATTCTTAAACTGGGTCAGGGGAGTAAATCGATGTGACCAGCTTCTGCTGCAATTCACAATGAAGCGAACCTTTACGTCTAAAGATGTACAATAAAGTATACATAATATTAGGTGTCTTTGGGCTAACAGTAGAATTATCGATTTTACACGAATCAGTGTGTTACTATCGTAACGTACTGATTCATGTAAAACTGGACTTCATGGACTTTACAAAACTAGTAGTCCTATCGAGCGTGGGGTCCACACCGGACACGGCATCAATATTTCGGTTGGTTATAGCAGTTTTTTGACCTTGACAGGTAAAATAGGGTACATATATGCCGAAAATGTACTTTTCTCGCCATTTTGGTATGCTGAACTTGAGTTAAAGTCACGTTTACCGCACAAAAAAGTTTGCGCGAGCTTATGGAACGTAAAGAGCACTTCTGGATGTTGCAAACAAGGAGATAGGAAAAATGTAACATTTGACAGAAATGTCATTATTTATGCGTTAACATAACATTTGTCCAACAACTTTACGAAAACGGATTTTAGATCCTATAAAAATCCATAGTAACTAATACGACTATGGTACCTGAAGTATAGAAGCACCGAATCGACCAACCTACTGTTATTATTTATGTCCTGTTTTTTGTGTTAACATAGCGTAACATCATAGTTGTCGATAATATTTACATGGTGAAGTCGCAAGCTTTTCGCCGTGTGTTTTGTCAGACCTGTCCGAAAGCTTGCTTTGTGGCTTTCAGTTTGTTGTAATATAAAAAAAAAAGCCCTTTTCTGTGTAACGCAAATGACTTGAACTTTCCGGTAAATCTTGGTGGCTCAGATAAGGAGCTGATGTGTTTATGATTATTTTCGGCATTGTTATTAGTATCATTCCTACATTACATCAGTTGCATTCAACTAAAGTGATTTAATTATTTTTACCCGTATATACCAAAATGGCGTCATTCATCATTGTTCTTATATGACACGCATGAAAGAAGCTTTTGAGTAGATATATCTCTAGGTACCATACAGCATGGGTTTTTAGATCGTGCCCGATAGCTAGACAATGTTTGAGGCCTTAAAAAGGTACTGCTTGGTGAATCTCTTGCCCAGGCATGTTCTGAGTTTAGGCATTGACAGAGAAGGAGAAACACTAACGTATAGATCGTCGTCTTCTGTCGATGTACGCTTGGTTTTTATTTAGATAAATCGACCGCTCGCGTAGCCGCATAGATACCTACTTTACTTCATATAGAAAAAGCACTGCTACGAACTGGACCTAACAGGTACGCGAGGGATAGTAAGTTCTCAGTTGGCCCGTATAGGGTGACTCAGCTCTTTTCTTGTGAAAAATTCTAACGGAAAAAACATATTTCTGTCACCACCACATAAAAAAACCGACCGGAATATAGGAGTTAGAGCTCCAAGCCTAAAAAATGCTATTCGATCCGTGCACAAATATCTGGCCACACTATGCAACTAAGTAATCCATAAGTAATACGCATTTTTATCTATGCCTGTGCTCTAGCATTCATCTGTTAAGACGGTAATAACATAGAAGACGGGGAGAAACTGACAAAAATATCCTTTTCATATACAATGCAAATATGTGTACCGTCTGCAAATTATTTGTACATACCGTAAATTGGGGTAGCTGCTAAGAAGAGCGTTAGATGCTACCCTTGTTCTTTAGTTAACTCAACCGTTAATATAATCATGTTTTTACTTGAATTTAGGTTTGAGCCCTAAGATCGTTCATATCATTTGCAGAGTCAGTAGAATGTCTCGCTCATGTCTTATTACGAACTGATTTGTTATGCGAGCTATGTTCTTACCGTTTGTCCATGACATGGAACCAAACAACGACGTTAGGTACATGCCCATGTCGGTGTCGTTGAGACGGTCTACGAGAGAGACGCGTTAGACCACTTGGAGCCTCAGGAGCAACTAGCTTGGCAAGGCGCTGCCATTCGGTCTGTGGATGTCGAACGCGAGTAGTTCCACCCCCGGTACTGCCCATCGTGCTGTTGGTAAGCGTCCCACTTCCGAGCTGAGCGAGATTCACTCCGCCGCAGAGAGATCCCCTTGAACCGAGGCTACCAGCAGTGACTGCGCCCTTCAGCTCGCCCCGCTCTGAAACACCTAAAAACATTGCCATAATAACAGGGTCGTGGATACTGTATCGATATTTTATTTCGCAAGAAGATTGTACAAAGAATATACACATATTGTGCATGATACAGACCTCATAACATATCTATACAATGATTGTGACAGCTATGATTTTAGCTAGAAAGCTCTCATTTAGAATCATTTTATTTTATTAAGACTGTTCACAAAAACGCCTCTAAGGCATCGCGCACGAGGTATACGTAGCACAGAAAGCTCGAGTGCTAGGCTCTATACAATCACCGACAAGTAAATTTTCTGTTTCTCGTTTGTGTAGTAATGCAACTCGTACGAGTGTTTCTGCGTCACACCGCACTCTATTGAGTAATGGAGTAGCCTCACTAAGCTGGGTGCGAAGCCTTCAGCTTAGTGTAATTTATCTATCAGTGAAAACATTGAGTGCCAAGAGTATATCTGCTGATCTAAAATCATCCTCGTAGACTGATGGCTTCCAGCAGATGTTTCGTCGGCTAGTGTTCTCTTCTTCGCTAAAGCGTAACAAGCGAGAAAGATAACTAGTTTCTAACAATATGTTTGATGAAAGATTTTCGCTGTAAAGTTAGTGTTCTTACCTTTATATGGTAGGCAAATTCCACAAGGTAGGTATATTTTAAAGAACATTTTGTAGCACATATAGGTATCTTACAATTGCCTTCTGTTATCGTAATAAGCGTGGCATTAATCAGCAACATTTTACCTGCAACTAATGACTATGCTCTTCAGAAGATCGATTTGCGTTGCCATTAATTTATATTATGTATCGTCTTTGGGACAGTCGTTCTCGATCAATTGTGCTCAATGTGCTTCACCTACGTTTGAGTAGCTCGTTAACCCAGTGGTGATTACGGACTTCAGCAGGCGTAAGGTTGATGATTTTTTTTATACCGGGTTCTTTATACCTGTCGTACTCATCATTGAGCATTTTTTCCGTTCTCCACAACGATTGAAACTAACACAATCTACCATTATAATTTATTATTTATAAGTAAGTATTAATTACTATTATTTCTTTCGAAGTCGTAGTAACAACGTCGATAATAGGATAAAACATCCTATCAGGGACGGAATTTGCAGGCCAACCTTTCAGCCGTATATTGGTGAGAACGAGCGGTCAAAACAAGCAAGATAGCTAACTCAACAAGAGTAGTTTCCTGTTAGTGTTTCAGATAGATCATAGCAATCGTCTAGGCTATGCGAGATTAAATGGTTTATAGTCTTCCGTCAGGCTACGATAGGGACAAAAAAATGATGGTCCAGATTTCCATTCCAAGCTGTGACAGCCAGAGCCGTTATGGAGTGGGAGAGCCTGAAGACCCAAATAGAAAAATTGCACTGTTTGCTCTCGTGCCGTTTCAATTAAATGCACGATTTCGGCTGACGCTGTCGCGCACTTGCTTTTACCCCTTTTCTACTTAGACCGTTTACCCGCAGCAAAAAGCAGTACTAGTGACGCTTATGAAAACCTGCGAATGACTAGAGGGCGGTAAACGTCTCAAACAAGCAGTATCAAGGGCCGATACTCCAATGATTGAATAATCGTTTCATTGATGAGAAGCCAGTAGCAACAACCTGGTAGATCTACTGGGCTTACTGAACTATCCATGTATCACGAACAACGGATTAGTCTCGCTTGCTTCTATAATATAATACGAACAGCTGTTTGAATTGCAAGAAGCTGGATGGGATAACTTTTATTGTGTACCTAGCCAGTCATGCGTTGAGCGAAACAATGATTTTCAACATTGCTGCTTCGGATAACGAAGTTCAGCTTGTTTTGGACTAAAGTCAGGAAGTTCTAGGGGAACTTTAGTGTCCATATATGCGGTTTAAGTTTTAAGGGAAAAATTGTTTGACTCAGAAACGAATTGTGCCGTAAAGAAATCCGCCTTGTCCGATACTTTGTCCTGACAGAAAATGTGCATTGCATTTCAACCACTAGACCGGCCATCGAGACCATTCGATAGTGACATATTTCTTTACAGATCCTTACGTGAATCCTGATCGCAGTACTAGCCTTCTGATTCAGTGTTCATCAGCTCTGTTTCAGACGTACTATCTAGAACGATTCATGACCTCAGCAATGTTGATTCCTGCAGCTATGGGACATAGCCGTAAACTAAAATCCCACGGATGCGAGCCAACGTACGAGATACTGTTTCTATAGATTTGATTGTCTAATATAATAAATGACTTATCAATGTGTGTTCAGATCCCTGTCTCCTGTAATACTAGTGTTTGTGTTTCGAACATTGACCACTCCAGGAATCTAAGCTATGAATAGGATCCACTTTATCTTAGATAGGCAGGCATTGTCTCTCACGGCTAAGCGTCCCATCGAAGGACACAGCCTTTTTGGCTGGATAGGCATGGAGCAGACGAGATGTCTAAAGATTTTCACGAACAAAAGAACGAAAAATAACTGAAAAAATCACATTTCGAAGTTCGATCGTTATATCTGCTTTTGCTCAGCAGTACTTGAAGCTGTTCGGCTGTATCGCGCGAACGATTGTCGCTTGTATCGGTTTTAAATCACTGTGTCACTTACTTCAATGGCTGAGGTAAATTTACAAGCCGGCAGGATGTCTGTCACGGCAGAAGGAGTAACGTCGCGGCGAACTAAGCAGTGCAGTAACAGGGAGTCGAACGCGACGTGGATTGTAAGCTCAGGCGTCGATCGAACGTGACGCACGGTAACAAAAGACGCTTGCGCATAGACACTAGTCGTTGGAGATTCTGCGGAGGAAATCAAACAATACTACCTTTGTGCCCGCAAGAACATTGTTTGATTAGTATAATACATATCGTTTACCCGTTTAAGTCCAACGAGTACATACAGGCCTACTGAGACCTCTATTATAAAGTGAACGATATGAAAAAAGTATTACTATAAAAATTATTTTCTGTAATTTTTCGTACATACTCTAAATTTCGAAGTTAATGTTAAACTAAGTTGACAGGTAAATACATCAAATTTAAAAATTGGCAATGATTACCTCGCTTAGTTTCTCAAAACATCAGACTAATGCATAGGATTCGTGCTCCTTTTATAGCTTTTCAGTTTCTATTAAGTTATTTTTTAATATTAAAAAACTCTCATTGTAGTTAGAATTTTGTCCCTTTTATCACTTAACCAGAACGTAAAATTCTCAGATACGTCAGATGTTGTTTCCAGCTATAGTATTTTTAGCATAGGATATCATTTTATAGGATTGCGCCCGTTTCATTCACGGGAACAGTTTTCGAATTTCGATGATGCCTTTCATTGACGATTGATAGACAGAACCAATTCAGCGAGTTGCGACAAAAAGCTAAGCTATTTCAAATAATTTATTAGTTATTATTTAAAAACTTTCTCTAAATAGATTGCATATAACGGTATGTATCGCGTACGTTTAGAAACGGAGCTAGATTTGTTAGTATCAAGTCATAAATAGCAAACGAAGAGCAAAAAAGATGACAATATAGCTCAAAGATCAAATTTTGCCTCAATATATAATAATTATATAAATGCAAAAAAATGTATGACCGGTATACATCGTACAAACACTATACGTTCTATTCGTATTCTCTACATTCTATATAGAATATTCCAGCATTTCGTTTCATGATGATACATAGCTTACTTTGGGAACTATGGATAGTTTTGACGAGTAGGTAGGTACGCTTTAGCCATTACATGAAAAAAGAAGAAATTGATCATTTATAGAAATCAGAGAACTTTCTGGACAATTGTAATAGCATATTACCATTATATTGTATTGTATTGTTAATAACTGTACCCATTTTGAATCGTCGACTTATTTGCGTCCAGGTTTTAGCAATCGTATGAGTTATCTTGTCGACATACTATCCTATTAGTCGTTATACTTGACGTAGGAGTCGTGGTAGGCATGTTTAGAAAGCATGCCTTAATCTGGTTTACTCCACTTAAAATGTTTGCAGGCCCCCCCAAAGCCGTTGTAGTATTCCTGTTTCGAACATCGATTATAACACCACACAGCCCGAGAGAGTACTTTAGGGATAGATGTATTTCAAGTAGCGCTTAGGCTTCGTGTTTACAAGGATCACCTTTGAAACTCGAAGGTTGAATACGTCAAATCGTGCAGGCCGAAAAAGCCATGAGGACTATGTTAGGTTTATTACTATGAGTTGCGCTACGGGAAAGAATATACGCTTTTTTTTTTTATCTCAAACTAGAGCAGGATGTAATCATTAAAACTTTGCATATATATTAGGGTCTACAGAGTTTACAGTGGGCTAATGTCCGATTTCTCGAATCTTTAAACAGAGGCCATCACCATATGCGTGAATTTACGCAATGACATACAATAATTACTCAGAGGGCTTCTGTTTGCTGTCGTAGCGACCGTTGGCTAGCATTTGAAACCCTACTCTGGACACGTACCCCTCACTGGTTAGTTCGTATACGTATTTCAATTGCTGCTTCAAAGAGACGCTTTCGTCTTAAGTGATAATATTATACAGTCCGTTTGTGTACCAACCCAAGTAAGTTTTTTGTGCTACTTGATTCGGACTTGTTTAAGCACAATTCTAAGAATTTATTATACTCCATTCAGTTAAAACCATGGTCCCTACTCAGTCAATAGGACTGCATTCACTGTTCGCGATACCCCAGTGTCGATGAAAAAATTTGCAGGCATTAGTACTTCTTCAAGTAAATACCGCCGTTTGCATAGATGTATAACATATTGCGTATACAATTTTTGTCGCTACTAAATCAACAAAAGGGGAAAGGCAGAGAGCAAAAGCTCTCTGCCTTTCCCCTTTTGCCCGCTTCCCCCTCGTTCATTTGTTAAGTAATTATACTAACGCATACCAACGCCACTTGTCTAAACTCAACAATGGCAAAGTCAGGGCAGAACTGTCTGGCGTAACTTCAAGTTCGGTTGGGAATCGCCACCCGCTGTTAGCTCCTCGAGGTTGCGACTAAAAGCAACGCCAGTGAGACAAGA